GTGATCAGAAAGAGGAAAAGGGAAGTTGGTAAGGTTGCAAGGAGTGCATAGGTAGGAGAATACAAGGTCGAGGCAGTTACCATTCGAATGAGTAGAAGCATGTGTCCATTGTTTTAGTTCAAAAGAAGTGGTTAGGCTCAGAAGTTTAGAGCTAGCAGAAGTGGTAAGATTGACAGGGATGTTGAAGTCACCAAGAATGATTGTGGGAATTTCAGAAGAGAGAAAGTAAGGCAGCCAGGCAGAGCAGTCATCAAGAAAGCTTAATACTAGTCCAGGAGGTCGGTAGATCACATCAATTCTTAAAGAAACTGGAGAGAATAGATGAATAGAGTGAACTTCAAATGAGGTGAGGGACAGAGAAGGAGGTGAATGAAGGACCTGAAAAGTGTTTTGAGGGGATAGGAGGATTCCCACTCCACCTCCTTTTCATCCACTAAGCCTGTGAGAGTGTGTCCAGAGGAGACCACCATGGGAGAGGGCAGCAGGCGAGGGAAAGTCAGATTCATGAAGCCAAGTTTCCATAATTGCAAGTAGGTTAAAGGAGTTTGTGATAAAAATGAAGGTCATGGACAGAGGTGAGTTTGTTATAGGCAGAGCGGGCATTCTAGAGGACACAGGAAAAGGGGAGGCTGGTTCTAGGAAGAAGAGGAATAGTAACTAGATTGTGTGGGTTGTGGCTGCTATTAGAGGATAGGGGGTGCCGGGTGTTGATCAAAAGAAAAAGATGGTGGCCCAGGATTTGGGAAAATGTCTCCAGATGTTAGTAGAAGCAGAGGGTGAGGGAGGTAATATGGGAGTATGACTTATATGGAGGGACAGGTTCCAGTGTTCTGGAGGTTTTATTAATATGTGGGTTCAGAATTAGCAGGAGTTGATAAGTATAGTAGTAAGGTGAAGACAGGAGTGAGGGTGATATACTGTATATAAGCTGTGAGGTGGAGAAGAGGGGTGAAGGGGAGAGAGTTTGAAGTGAGAGGATACAACTGTGAAAAGGAGGAGTAGGGAGTGCATGTTACAGAGTGGAGAGATGAAGAAGCAGACTAGATAAGAACTGAATGGGGAAACAGGTCACCTGTAGTCTGTGTTATGTTGGAACATTAATGTGCATCGCATAACAGCAGCCCGTTTATATACATAGGCTGCCTTGTGTGCCAGAAAAGTTGCATGCGCTATGTATGGTAATGCAGCCCAGGTTCACTGGTAAGGTGTGTTTGGGAGCCATTAGAAATGAATTGCACTGCAGGGCACCATGGGTATTAACACAGTGCAACAAGTCTTAGACCCTTTGCAGTTAACATGCTGTGTGCTTCACATGTGTTACCATTGAATTCCATGTAATGAACGTTTTTATTAAGATGGTCCTTCAAAGATGCAGCAAAGAGCTTTTTTTGTAATTGCACAGTTCTTAAAACATATTTGAGTGAACAGAGGCCTTTAGGATATGTGCTCAAATGATCGTCCCATGAATCAAGGTGAAAATTATGTCCCTGTGGTTTTTCTATGTATGTATATTTTATTGAAGAATAAGGCCCTCCTCACACTTGTGAATGGGGCTGTTTACATATGAGAACTCCAGTGGGGGTTTCTGGCAATTACTATAGATGTAGGAGGTAGCTCCATTGAAAGCAATGGGAGGCTGACAGATCCTGTGGCTAATCGCAGCTGTTCGCATGTTATAGGTTATGGAGCAATTACCTGCAAGTGATGACAGTCTGTGTCCAGGGCTGATCACCTGCAGGTAATTGCTCCATGGGTGATTACATATGAGTTGCCTCAATTAGTACAGGAGCTGTCTACCTCCCATTCATTTGGGCTCCTGCATCTAAATATTATTATTCAGGATTTATATAGTGCCAAGAGTTTGCTCAGCAGTTTACAATATAAAGGGAGACAATACAGCAACAATACAATTCAATACAAGAGGTTTAGGAGGGCCCTGCTCCTAGGAGCTTACAATCTAATATGGAGGGGCTGGTGGAACAAAAGGTAAAAACTGTGGGGGATGAATTGATGGGAGAAATAGAAGATTTGGTTATTAGCTGAAGGCAGGATAGGATTTCCTGAAGAGGTAGGTTTTCAGGGATTGCCTAAAAGTGGATAGAGTTGGCAATAGCCAGACAGATTGGTGTAGGGATATCCAGAGGATGGGAAAGGCTCTGGAGACATCCTGGAGATGAGCATCAGAGGAGGAGACAAGTGAGCTAGAGAGCAGGAGGTCTTGGGAGGAGCAGAGATGACAGTTTGGGTGAAATTTGCAGACACGATTGGTGATGTAGCTTGGGGCAGAGTTGTAAAAGGTTTTGTATTTCATTGTTAATGTTTTGAATTTTATTTGTTGGGCAATGGGAAGCCAGTGGAGGGATTGGCAGAGAGGGGTGCTGGATATAGAACAGTTAGTAAGGTAGATGAGTCTGGCAGCAGCATTCATGATAGACTGGAGAGGAGATAGCCTGCGATTAGGTAGGCCAATGAGGAGGGAGTTACAATAGTCAAAGCGAGACATAACTAGAGAGTGAATAAGTTGTTTATTGGTTTCAAGGGGAATATTTTGGAGATGTTACGAGTTGAAGTCTACATTATTTGGACAGTGATTGTATTTCAGGCTAAAAGGACAGCTCAGAGTCCAGCATTACACCTAGTACCCTGGTATGAGGGTAGGGACTGAAGGTTGTATTATTGATCTTGATGGAGAAGTCAGGGGAGGTAATATTACAAGCTCAGTTTTTAGAAAGATTGTGTTTGAGAACGTGGTATGTTGATGTCAGTTAGTAACACGAGAGGAGACTGAAGAAGTGAGATGAGGTGAGGTGTGTAATCACCATAGAGATGATCCTGGAAGCCGTGGGAGTTTATCAAGAGAAGGAGTCCAAGGACAGAGCCATGGGGGGCCCCTACAGAAAGAGAAAGTGGTGAGGAGGAGAAAGAGTTACAGGTAACACTGAAGGAGTGCTGTGATAGAGGGAGAACCAGGAGAGAGCAGAGTCTTGAAGGCCAAGAGAGTGGAGTTTTTTTTTTGAGGAGGAGGGGATGGTCAACAGTATCAAAGGTTGCAGAAAAGTCTAGTAGTTAGAGCATGGAGTAGTTGACATTGGTTTCAGCAATTAGTAAATTATTAGTGAGTTTTAGTAGGGCACTTTCAGTGGAGTGTAGTAAGCGAAAGCCAGCCTGTAAGGGGTCAAGAAGGTTGTTGTCAGTAAAGTAGGAACTCAGAAAGTTGTAGACTGTGTTCTAAAAGTTTAGAGGTAAACAGGAGCAAAGAGATGGGTCTTAAGTTCAGGCTGACTGGATCCAGTGAGGGATTTTTAAGCATGGGGTGATCAGCGTATGTTTTAGAAGGAAGTAGAAGGTGCCAGTAGAGAGGGAGAGATTGAAGATGTGAGTGAAGGAGCATAGGATAGAGGAAGAGGGTGACTGTAGAAGTTGTGAGGGAACAGGAACCAGAGGACAGGTGGTAAAGTTTTCTGAGAAAACGTTCCAGACCTCTTTGGTAGTAGCCAGGTCAAAAGAGGAAAATGTTGAGGGTGGTTTTGTACAGGGTGTGTTAGGTGTGAGAGATATCTGTGCAGTGGAGATGCCCCCACGAATTGTATCAGTCTTGTTTTTGAAGTGATTGTCAATCTCATGAACAGTGAGTGAGTTACTGGGTGGAGGTGGTGTTGGAAAAAGTTGAGAGTTAAAAGTAGAGAAGAGATGATGAGGACCGAATGACGAGGTATTATTAAGAGTGAAATGGAAGTCGGAGGACTTTGGAGTCGCACAAGTGTGAACAGAGCCTAAAAGAGGATATTCAGTCTCTAGGAAAAAAAATTAACCGCTTAAGGACCGCCATATAGCATATATACTGCCACAGGGCGGCACCTGTGAGCAGGATCACGTATATATACTTGATTTTGCATTTCCCGGGTAGGGGGTGCACGCACCCTACCCGCGCTACCATTCACGGCCGCGAATGTCAATCACTGGGTCCCAGCCGGTAATTACCCACCAGCACCCGGTGATTACCGAGCATCTCCAAGATTGCAAGGAAGATTGCAAACAAAACAAACAATCTTCCTACCTGTCAGTTCAGGCACACTGCTCAGGATGGCTGTGCACAGTACAGCCATTCCCGATCAGTGTGCTTACAGTGAAGAACACACCCCCCATCCCCTAGTAAAGCACTCCCAGCACACAGTTAACCCTTTGATCGCCCCTCACATTAACTCCTTCCTGCCTGCCCAGTGTCATTAGTAGTGTCAGTGCTTTTTTTTTTTTTTTTTAGCAATGATTACTGTACTGGTGTCACTTTGGTGTCAGTGACATCAAGTTAGTTCCCCCCCAGTGTCAGAATGTCCGCCGCAGTCCCGCTAAAAGTCGCTTATCGACGCCATTACTAGCAGAACAAAAAAAATCCCATTATCTATACCGCCATTTGTAAACGCTATAACTTTCACGTAAACCAATTAATTTACACTTACTGGGATTTTCTTTTAGCAAAGACATGGAGCAGAATACATTTTGGCCTAAATTTATGATGAAATTTTATTTTTGGATTTTTTTTACTGGACATGTTTAATAGCAAAAAGTCCAAAATATTGTTTTGCAAAATTGTCGGTCTTTTTGTTTATAGCGCAAAAAATAAAAAACGCACAGGTGATCAAATACCACCAAATGAAAGCTCATTTCGTCGGAAAAAAAAAGGATGTCAATTTGAGTGCAGCTTTGCATGACCGCGAAATTGTCAAAGTAATGCAGCGCCGTAACGCAAAAAATGGCCTGGTCATGAAGGGGGGTAAATCCTCAGGAGGGCAAGTGGTTAAAAGTCAGCAGTTACAACTCCTGTAGTTGCTGACTTTTATAAAAAAAAAGGACACTTACTCACCCTGGCTGGTTCTTCGCCAGTCTTTGTGTCCGCGGCGCTGTATTCATTTCATTTTCATTAAATCTGTTTTTTTTTTTCAGGTGGCATCACATTTCCTGGCCATTTTTGATGTGAACAAGATCGCGGGTACAAAGCAACCATGGCTTATGATACAAGAGACCCCATGCAGCTTGCGCAGATCATATCATCGAATATTCAGAAGATAACACAAAGCAGTACGTCATAGCCTTCTGTTTTCTTATTCTACTTATTCAAATGAATGGGCTAAAAATGGCGCTACACTGAATTGCACAGGAATGCGGACCACATTCAGGTGCCAAATCACATTTTTGCTTTGCTTTTAAAAAAACGGGTTATGTCCGCTTTGGGCAAGCTGGAGTGTGGTGGCAGCCTGCAATGAATGAGCTGCCTTAACACAACACACATTAACATGCGACATAACGTACCGAATGCCTATTTCCTATGATCTTTATCTCCTTCTAGTGTCCATAATGTGGTATTTTTTTATTTTTCCAAACCACTCTATATTTTATGAATGAATAACATTCAACCTATGGAGGGAATTAAAGTGGTTGTAAAGGCTCAAGGTTTTTCGTCTTCATTATTATTATTTTATTATTATTATACAGGATTTATATAGCGCCAACAGTTTGCTCAGCCCTGTACAATATAATGAGAGACAATACAGCAACAATACAGTTCAATACAAAAGGGTTAGGAGGGCCCTGCTCCTTGGAGCTTACAATCTAAGAGGGAGGAACTGGTGGTACAAAAGGTAATAACTGTGGGGAATGGACTGGTAGGTTTAATAGAAGATTCCATTATTAGCTAAAGGCAGGATAGGCTTACCTGAAGAGATAGGTTTTCAGAGATTGCCTGAAACTGGGCAGAGTAGTCTGATAGATTGGGGTAGAGAGTTCCAGAGGATGGGGGAGGCTCTGGAAAAGTCCTGGAGATGAGTATGAGAGGTAAAAAACCTTCTCTCTGCAGCAACCTTCCCAGCTCCCCCTAATACTCACCTAAGCCCCTTCTCGATCCAGCGATGTGAACTGGGGTTTTGGCTATCCCGGGACCCCTGGGCTGAGACAGCAGTGAGAACCATTGAGCCAATGAGAAGAGAGAGGGGGAGGGGAATGCGCATGTTTGGGTGCCCCCATACTAAGCTGATTGCTGTGGGGGCACCCGGCAAGGGGGAGGGGCCAGGAATGCCACCGGGGGACCCGAGAAGAGGATTTGGGCTGCTCTGTGCAAAACCACTGCACACAGCAGGTAAGTATGACATGTTTGTTTTATGTTTGTTTGTTTTTTTTTTTTTTAAATTTAAGCCTTTAGAATCACTTTAAGGAAGAACTTTTTTTTTTGCACAGAGCAAATGTATTAACAGTTTCACTGGACCAATAGCTATGCAAACATTTTCATGAATACACCCCTTTGTGTTTAGGGTTAAGTGTTAATGTGGAAGTTTAGTCAAACACTAACTACTGTATGTTGTAGAATTAAATCTACTCCAGCCCCCATTCTGAGCCTATTCTATCTACCATGTGAAAGAAAAGATCTGTATACTTACCTATTCTGAAAGTGCTTTGGTCCGGTCACATGATTGGGTCTCATCACCAGCTTCAGTGTAGAGGAGGGACAGCCTACAACGCATGCCCCATAGTAAGCCTATGGGGGATGTCACCACCAGGCTATGCAGCTATTGTCAATGTCTGCCATAGGCTTACTATGGGGTATCCATTGTTAGCCATCCCTCCTCTACACTGAAGTTGGTGCTGGGACCCGATCATGTGACCAGACTGGAGTGCCCTCAGCATAGGTAGGTATACAGATCTTTCCTTTCACAGGGTAGACAGAATATGCTTAGAATGGGGGGGAGGGAGACAATTTAAGTGTAGTTAGTGTTGACTGAACTTCCACTTTGAGTAGGGTAGGGTTTTTAGTGTTAGTGATAGGTTAAAATTTCCGCATGTTAATGCTGACTAGAGCAGTTCTGCAGGCCCTGTATTCAATTGGAAGAAGGGTCAGCCGCACACCAGAGGATAGATGAATATAGTGTGTATTTATTGATCCGTATGACACACAAAACACCAGGACATGAATACAGGACCTGTTAACGCGTTTTACACGATCTTGCGCTTAACTCCCTTGTAGCCAGTGCCTCCCGGCCCTTTAAGGGTTTAGGGTCATGTGTTCGCCGTGACACACCGTCATAGCGGTCACATGATCGGGAAAGGTCCCGATCGAAAGAGGAGATTGGGACTTTCCATGAGCATCGGAAATGTGTGCTGGGAGCGTGCAGGGCACACGCTCTCGGCACATATTTTTTTTTTTTATAGAAAGCAAATGTGCAGCCACTCGGCGCCTAGGCCCAGATGTCGGGAGGCCACACATTTGCTTTTGGCCGGCATCAAGATGTTAATCAACATAAATATAAATTAGCATGATTAAGCACGAGATAGTGTGAAATGCGTTAACAGGTCCTGTATTCATGTCCTGGTGTTTTGCGTGTCCTATGGATCAATAAATACACACTATATTCATCTATCCTCCGATGTGCGGCTGACCCTTCTTCCTATTGCATCGTGTGTGGTGGCAAGCCAGAGCCTGCACCTGTTGTGGATTGATCTGGATTGTTTGCTTGAGTGGTATACTCCTGTTCTTTGGATTAGGCCCTGTATTCAGCCTGGGTCTGAGATCTAAGATCCATGGGAGAACACAAAAAACAAATGGAAAGACTAACACATACTTAAAGTGGTTATAAACCTCAGACATGAAAAATGAACAAAGCATATCCCTCTATAGTGTGTATGTGTCTCAATCCAGAGCACTGTGTCATTTCTGTCTGCTGCTTCGTTGCTTTGCTATCAGCATAAATCACTTCTGACACATTTTGCTGACACCAAGATAAAAATGGTGACAGGGGAAGGATCTCCAGCAGATTGACAGCCTCAGCTCTGTTCCTGTGAACTGTGTGGAGGGGGGTGTGCCTCTTCCTTCCAATCATCTCTCAGAGCTCTCCTCTCTGATCTCTGCAGTGTAGTATATTAGCTCTCCACCCTGATTTTTTTCTGACAGCTCAGACAAGCTGTAAAAATTCTGGACTTTGAACGGATGTAGAAAGGAGGTAGACAGGTGCAATGAATGTAGGAGGATTTGTTTAATCACTGTGTATCACCTGAGGCCGGTCACTTCGCTGGGTATCTAAATTCAGTCGAATCATCACAATAGACAATATTTGGCACTTGACAGGCTCACTTTACGATTGCTAGAGCTATACAGTGATCTCATTGTTTGCCATTTTCATGGATTACTTCCTCTTATAAATGTTTAATTGCAAAATGTTATTCCTGCATGTTATAACACACACACTGAGAAACATACTATATTAATAATTAACTTCTCATGCAGCTTCTGAAATACAGAGGATAGTAAATCAGCTTGGAACTGCGCTGGATTCTGCAGAGCTCCGCCATCAGCTGTGAGTACACAACCTAGTCATATCTCTTGACATTGCTAGTGCGGCAGAAGGAGACTTATGTTGTAATTATATCAACACATTTCTTAGATAAATGACCCCACAGCTTAGCACGGTTCAATGTTTAAAGCCACAAAGTACAAGAAATGTTACAGTGTAGTGTTAGTTGGCTAGGAGCTCATTATCTGCCTTTCTGCCATATTAGATATTCAACTTCTAATGACTTTTAACTTCTTAGTATATTTTAGTGGTTCTAAAAGCAAATGTTTTTTTTTACAATAATGCATTCTCTGCATTAAAGCGGAGCTCCACCCAAAAGGGGAAGTTCCACTTTAAGTACAGGTCCCCCGCTCCCCATTAAGGATTGGCACCTTTGTGGAGCGGGTACCCAAAATTTGACAAATACCCACTCCCACTTCCGCTGCGATCGCATAGGCGATCGGAAACGAAAGTTGTCTTCCTCCCCTCCCTCCCCTAGTCTTCTGGGACACGTAACAGGTCCCAGAAGACGACGGGGCCATTCAGGAAGTGCAGCGATACTTGTGCATATGCAGTGGGTTCCTGGCTTTGAAGCCGTAAGCTGTGACAGCCGGGTGCCCACACTGAAGATGCCAGTGCCTGGAACACAGGGCGGCCGGTGAAATGGGCTGTGAGGGGACACACACCGTGGAATTGAGGGACAAGTGAGTGGCTGTTTTTAAAAAGTCAGCAGCTATAGTTTTTGTAGCTGCTGACTTTTGTTTTGTTTTTTCAGTGACACACTGCTTTAAGGTACAAAAACTTTCAATAGCAGCTCCCCCCACCCCCTTAGCTCTTCTCACTTCTCCTCTCTCTCACAGGCTTGGCTGAAAGCATTGTCAAGTCATTGGCTCCTTCTGCTGTCAGTCAAATCCTAGGAGGAGGGAGCGGGGCTGAGTCACGCTATGGACGCAAACAGCCTGGTTTGGTAGAGCCTTTGCAGCTTGCTATGGGGGAACTCAGGGAAGAGGTGTCACAGTGATCACTGGCAGGGGACCCCAGTAGAGGATGTATGGGACCAATGGCTCCTGCTCTGTCTTTAGCCTGTGAGGTGAGAGAGGGACCAGTACTGCTGAAGATGGGCACAGCACTGCATCGAGATAGGACTCAGATAAGTAGGGGGTTGTAGGGGTTGATACAACTAGTGGGACATTTTTTACCTTAATGCTGTGAATGCATTAAAGTGGAGTTCCAGTCAAAATAAAAAAATATTTAGCAGCTACAAAAATTGTATCTGCTGACCTTTAAAAACAGACAATCACCTGTCCCTCGATCCCACTGTGTCCTCACACCAGCCAGGTTCACCAGCCATCCTGTGTCCCCGCTGTGATTTTCAGTGTGGGCACTCGGCTGTGACAGCTTGCACAAGTAGCGCTGTGCTTTGTGAATGGTCCTGTAGTCTTCTGGATATACAAAGAGACAAAAAGATTGATAAAAAGTAAAATACTCACAAGAGAAATATAATCAAATGGAAAGCATGTCACAAGGGATGCATTGTGGTCCAAAACCCCTGAAGGTAGTCTGGTGGGGGACTGTAGACGTCTGGATAGCTGATGGCTGACGTGAGGTTGTACCTCTTCCTCAGGTCTCTTTGAGACATTTTGAGAGAAATAGAGAGAGCAGAAGCAGAGAGAGCAGTATTTGCTAAGATTAGCTGTCTTTTTTTGTGGTGTTTGGATGTGTTCCAGCTTTTTTTCTGTGCAGAAATTATTTCAGCAGTGTCTAACATATTTTCTTTCATGCGAAACCTCAAAGTATGGTGTACCAGGTCCATTTGAGTACTGGGAAAACGCTTTGCATGCATTTTTCATGATGAAAAAAGGCTTTGGACAGCATCTGGAAATGGAAGAGTTAAAAAAAATTTCCAAACGCAAACGCTTATAAACACGGTTAGCCACGTTTACATGCATTTACAAGCATTTGGCGTTTGAAAGGCTGATCAAATCTATTCCTGAACGCAAGTTTGGTGCGTTCAAAGAAACGACTGTAAGCTCAACTGCCTGTAAAGGACTGTAAACAACATAGTGTACATGGACACATAGGAAAACATTAGGGAGAGTTCAGGGGCTGCTGGAAAAAAAAAACGCAGAAAAGCCCCTAAACGTGAGTTTATCAGCTGCAGTGTACATGGAGCCTAAGGCTCCATTCACACCTATGATTTTTGTCCATTTTGCAGTACTTTTAGCAGTTCATTTTGCGGTTTTCTACACGCCTTTTTTACCTGCAATTTTACCGCGATTTGCAGTTTGTTCAGCTCTTATTTATTTATTTTTTGCTGGGCAGAATAAAAATGCAAAACGCGACAACATCGCGGCAAAAAGGCACTACCATGCATTTCTGCAGATTCTCCATTGAACTCTGTTGTAGAAAAAAACTCTGCTTTTTGCTTTTAAAAAAGCCCCTGACCCTTTCCAAAAATGCAGCAGCTCAAAAAAGCACAGATGTGTGAACATGCTCCATAGGAAAACCATGTTAAATAGACTGTAGGGCGTTTCTGCAAAAAGCACTAAAAAACGCATTGGTGTGAACGTAGCTGAAATTGGCCTTAGTATGTGTATGTATGTACGCATGTGAGATAGATACCATAGAATGTAAGTTCGTTGAGAACAGGGATTGTTCTGTTTCGAATACCGCTTTATGCATTAACATACCATCGTACATCTTGATGTGTCCTGACACTATGGTCAGCTGCTGATTCAGCCCAATCCACAGACAGCAACTTGGGCTAAGTTTATCTAAGGGCAAGGAACGGTACTGACATTTAATGAGAAGAGTTCCTTGTGCTGGTGCTATGTGCGCTAATTGAAATCCAAAGTCCTTTTCTTCCACTCCCCCCCCCCCCCTTCCAAACCTCCACAGCTGTTATCTTCTTCCAGTGCTGCAAGGGTTAATACGAGTGCTAGACTTGATCGTGTTTGCTCTTTCTGCCCCCCTACCCCATTCATAGAAGGTGTACCAGAGCTTCCATAAATGTAAAGCTCTATGTGAATAAAGGACAGATGAATGAAGACCCGCCTCCTCTATTCATTGAACGCTTTTCATTCATGGAAGATATAGTAAAGCTTCTGTAAATGGGGGGGAAGGGGGGGTGCAGTGGGTGGGCATAGTCATCACTCTTGGTGAATGTCCAGTACTCATATTAACCCTCGCAGTACTGCAAGTTTATGGTTGCAGGAGTACAGGGGATAAAGGGCAGAAGACTTTGGATTACAACTAGGACAGTATCAGCACAAGGGACACTTCTCAATAAATGTAAGTACCATCCCATTTTTACCTAAAATTAATCTTTAACTCTCCAATCAGGTGAACCCAACACAATATTACTTGTTACAGTACAGTAATGAGGATGTTTTTCCAGTCAATTGAAATGTAAAAAGACAATACACTTCTCAGCCTAGCGTTTGCTATGAAGATCCAAGACTAACTGAGGGGACATGGAACAAGAATGTAGGGTTTTGCTAAGACTGTACAACCTAGTACTGTATAGGATGGGAAAAAATGGGAAATACCAATAAACATAAGTTGCTGTAGCTCTGAACTACCACTAGATCTCAGCACAGATAAGAGCATCAACAGCTTCTTGACCGTCCTATAGCAGAAAAATACTGCTACAGGGCGGCAGGGCTGTGCAAAATCATGTATGTATATGTGATTTTGTATTTCCGGGTAGGGAACGCGCGCCGCCATTGGCGGCTACAGCTTTCGATCACCGGGTCCCAGCCGGAGATTCCCCGCTACTACCCAGCCATCACTGAGGAACACTGACAGGGGAGAGGTCTGTATGTAAACAATACAGATTTCTCCCCTGTCAGCACCAGCATGCTGCTTTGTATTGCTCTGCATAGCATAACATAACAGAGCAATACAAAGCAGCATGCTTAGACAATAAAACCGCACATAATGTGAAATGCACACAGTTATCCCTTTGATCGCCCCAGATGTTGACCACTTCCTGCCCAGTGTCATTAGTACAGTGTCAATGCTTTTTATTAGCACTGATCACTGTATTGGTGGCACTGGGGATGTCATTGACCCCAAGTCAGTTCCCCCCAGTGTCAAAATGTCCACCGCAGTCCTGCTATAAGTCGCTGATCACCGCCATTACTTGTATAAAAAGAATACAAATTAAAATGTTAGTATCTATACTGCCATTTGTAGACGCTATAACTTTTACGTAATTTTTTTTCAGCAAACACATGTAGCAGAATACATTTTGGCCTAAATTTATGGTGAAATTTGATTTTTAAATTTTTTTTACTGGATATGTTTTCTAGCAAAAAGTAAAAAATGTTTTTTTTTTTTTTTTCAAAATTATCGGTCTTTTTTTTTTTGCTTATAGCGCAGAAAATAAAAAAAAAACACACAGACGATCAAATACCACAGAAAGAAAGCTCTATTCGTGGGAAAAAAGAACATAAATTTCATTTGGGTGCAATATTGCATGACTGCGCAATTGTCAGCTAAATTGCAAGTAATGGCCTGTTCAGGAAGGGGCGTAAATCCTCTGGAGGACAAGTGGTTAATAACACTAATACAATACATAGAAATAGTAGAAAATAACTTCATGGGTGAGACACAAGAGGGAATGATGTGAGTGTACGGAATGTAAAACACTGCAAAAATTGGTGGTGTATAAATGCCAGTAATATATAGAGTTCGGGCCAAGTATGCCCTGAGGATGAGAGGCTGGAGGGAGAAGATTTGTTTTTTGGGAGAATATTATATGATTATATACCAGTTACAACACCTCTTTCAGTATACTGATGCTATGATGTTGTCATTTTTGTTGTAGACAGCAGAAGATACAGTTTGTGAATAAACTTGCTAAGGACACAGATGTTTGCCTCAAGAACTTTACATCTCTTCCTGCAGACAGCGATCAGGTACTGATACTACCTTCACTACAACTCAGCTAAAGCCAAAAGCAATTTTATAGACTGGTGAAGGATTTAGAATGTCTGATGTCTTTGTATTGCCCTGGAACAAGTAAAACCATCAGTAGATCAGTCAAACTGTGATAAGTCACAGTTCCACATTGTCTATGAGGAAATTTTTCTTAAATTGGAGAGATTTGCTCTCACTTCCTGTTGTATCTGCAAGAGAAATCTTATGTACAAGACACTGAAAAAAGAAATCGACAGGGGTTTTAATTATTCCCTACTCTATTCAAAAAACGTTTGGGCTTTTGATATATCAGAATAATCCAATGTAGGTTTTTAAGGTACCACACCGAAATGTGTATAAACATATTTATATTTTGTTTGTACAAACATTAAAAAATATCTTAAGATCATGAAAAATAAACCGCAGCAAATAATATACTGTAAAGTAGTGGAGCTGCAGTTGCACATGTTGCCAGTATTTACAGATATTTGCAATCCCAGATATCCATAGAAATTCCACTCCCTCATCATATCACGACTTGACTACTAACTCCCTCCTCACTGGCCTGCCTCACCGCTGGCTATCCCCGCTTCAGTCCATCCTGAATACGGCAGCCAGACTCATTCACCTTTCCAACCGCTCCATCTCCGCCACCCCCCTCTGCCAATCCCTCCACTGGCTTCCGATTGCGCAACGGATCAAATTCAAAATCGTAACACTGACGTACAAAGCCGTCCACCATACTGCCCCGAACTACATCACTGACCTAATATCCAAGTACCACCCAGCCGCACACTCCGCTCCTCACAAGACATCCTCTCTAGTTCCCTGGTCTCCTCCTCCCATGCCCGCCTCCAGGACTTCTCCAGGGTGTCACCCATCCTCTGGAACTCCCTGCCCCAACCCATCAGATTATCACCTACTCTCCTCTCCTTTAGGCGCACCCTGAAAACCCATCTCTTCAGGGAAGCCTACCCCACCCCCTGCTAACTTGCCGACCTCCTCCACTCTTCCTACCACTCCATCCACCACAGCTATCTCCTCCTGTGCAACCATCCCCTCCCTCCTAGATTGTAAGCTCGAAAGAGCAGGGCCCTCAATCCCCTCATGTTTTGCATTGTATTGTTATTGTTCTGTCACATGTTCTGTCCCCCTTTGTAACCACTTGAAAACCAAGCCTTTTTCTGGCATTTTTTATTTACAAGTAAAAATATGTATTTTTTTTTTAGAAAATGACCCAGAACCCCCAAACATTACATCTGTTTTTTAGCAGAGACCCTAGAGAATAAAATGGTGATTGTTGCAATTTTATATGTCACACAGTATTTGCATAGTGGTTTTTCAAATGCAATTTTTTTGAAAATATACACTTTCATTCATTTTACTCCAAAGAAACACAATATATATAAAACCACATTTTTTATAAAAGATGATATTTTAGCGCATGCTTGTGGAATCGCGACAAAATACTAAACCTAAAGATCTCAATAGGCGATGCTTTAAACATTTTTAGATTACATACTTAGAGTTACAGAAGAGGTCTAGCTCCAGAATGATTGCTCTGACTCTAATGTTCGTGGTGTGTGTGTGTGGTGCAAACACAGTTTACACGACATATATATGACAGGTCCTCTTTATGGAGAAATTTGTGGTCTATAAGACCCCAAATCTCTCCTTTACCTTTAAAAGCAAAAGATCAAAAAAACATGTTTACTTCCACTCTAGATCGGAAGTGATGTCATGACGTTGCTCTGGTTCTCCAAAATAATAGAGGTGATCAGAGACAATCTGGTCTCTGTTCACCTCTATGGCCAGCCTTCAGATCATTTCCTGGGCTTGCTGGTGAAAGCGGTAAGGCTGCTTTCACACTAAAGAGATTTGGAAGCACTGTTGTGTTAAAAAAAAAGCGCAAGTAAAGCTGAAGAAAAATGCATCCCTATGTATGTCTATGTGTATCTTCACACTGGTCCATTGTGCTTCAATTGCAGTGTATAAAATCCTGTATAATAATTTTTTGGACATATTTGGTCAGGTAAAAAAAAAAACAGATAAATGCACCACCCTATTTAAATGCAACGAAATGTGTCAAAAATACACCTGTGTTGTTGTGTTTTTGATGCATTTTTATGAGTCACATATCCTGTGAAAAACACACCGCAATCACAGGAAAATTTAGGTAAGAACACAGCAAAAACACATATACGCTATTTTACCACAGTTTTGCTGTGGATCAGTATGACAGTGCCCTAAGCCTGAGAAACACTGTCGAGCAGTGAAGGGAGGGCACCGTGCTTCTTGAAGCGATCCAGCGGCTAATTAGCTGCTTGGACCACTTTCATGAGAGAGACAATCGCCAGCTGAAAAAATACATTCTGATAGCTTCAGCTATAACCCCAGTAAACCACTTGCAGGCTGCAACTTATATATACGTATTGCGGTAGGTAAAAGAAGGGAGGGAACAACATTGTAACAGGGATTGTTATATATAAATGCCTATTAAAGGTTTCAATCAGTTGCCCAAATATTTCCAAACTACACCCCTACTCGTCATAATGAATAGTGAGACATATTTATCTATGGCCATATCAAAGGATGATCCTAAAACAATATTAAGCATCAGCCCTCATTGCATACACAAAGCTCCCCCCAATAAACGACATTGCTGCCAAAAAAAAAAGGAAAAAGGAAAACAAACAAATTAGCCAGAAAAAAAGGGGAGAAAGAAATATAACCTAATCAAGGTAATTGAGGAAAAAGCCATGCTGGTATGAATCCTAGTAAATGACAGATGGAATAGAGGTCAAAGTACTCAGAGGTGTATAATAATAGGTCAGCCGGTCATCAGCAGATCTTCTCAGAACTAAATGTAGCTGGCAAAATGTTCACTGTGTACCCCCAGTATATGTAGTTAAAGATGATGCCAAAAATGGCATTTAGCGCATGCATGCAATGGCGTCATCATGTACTCTGTTTGTCATAATGTCATGACGCTGTGATGTGGCGGCCATCTTAATAATCATTCCAGTGGGGAAGGACATGATGGTGTACCCAATGGCCAAAAATATTCTAAGGATGTCTCTACAATGATAACAAATAAATAGGAAGAAAGAGAAAGAATTGTTAACTAGTAGCAAAATATGTAGGTCAACTGGTAAGAGTCCTCCCATTCAGAGGGTTACAGCTCTGCATTTACATCGAACAATATATACATGCAAACTATTAATTTGTTTAATTGATTACAATAATGAAATTTGCATATTAATGATACAGACCAAAGCATGTCATATTATATATTTTCACATGGTAGTTTGATATTAATTCATATGCAGGTAGCCACTTTAATATTCCCATGAAAATATACATATGAAAAAATGAAAACCTTATACCTGGATATGGAACTAAACAAAAACAAGAGATGAAGGAACAGCCTTTGAATAATAATAAGAAAAAGATAATCTCAAGGTGGAAAGGATTTAAAGCTTAAAACATTATTTAAATTGGGGGGGGAGGGGTTTGCTACTAGCTGAATAATCCATATGGCCTCTCTCTGGAGGGTACAGCGGTCCCCATACGTTAATACAAATATCCTCTTAATACTTTAATTTGCGTTGATTTTTATAAGGGCGCCACTTAATCCTTTCATTCGCATTGTTCATTTCTACTATGATGGTACTTTTAAGGCCTTGTGCACATGAGCACCTGTGGTATTTCCCCACCCAAGAGCTGCAAGTGCCGCATACAAGCGCCCATAGAAATCAATGGCTGTACATAGCTGTACACAGTGGAGTGGAGAGTCCATGGAGATCTTCTTTTTTTTTTTTTTTCTATTCTTAGAAAAAATAGAAATGATCTAAGTCGAGATGTGCATTTCCCATCAACTGTCCATATCATATGGAAAATGCACATTTGGACTTGGATCATTTTTTTTACAGCACTGCAATTTCTATTTAATTTACTGAAGGACTTCATATATCATTCTGTTTTGTATATTTATATTATTTATCAATGCTACATAAAATAATAGAAAATTATCATTTTTTTTTAAACAGCTTGTCATACCTTTTTTTAAAAGAAATTTGCAAATTATTATTTTTTTTTGTAAATTGTTTAAGTTGAAAATTTAACCAAGCAACTTCCATGTGAAAACCGTTGCAGCATGATTTACATGCATAGGCTTGTGCAGTGAGGCATAGTGCAAAAAAGGGAACAGATACTTTTTGTTTTAAACAAATTTCCCTTTTCTCTTCATGGTGCTTTTTTTATAAAGGGACGTTTCTGAATGTTTACACATTGCTTTTATTGATAACAAATATAATGATGTACTTTATATTTAACATGGCTAAATAGACAGGATTAGAAGCTACCTATTTTCATTTGAAAGCAAACGCTTGCCTTTTATTCCTATGCATAGTTACACAGACAGGAATTACCTTCCTCACACTACTCTTTAAAAATCTGATCTCCAGAATAAATACATTCTTGAGAAACCGTACACATACGTATGTGAAATGTCGAAGGATTTGTGACTTGTCCAGCCATTTTTGTTATTCATTCGCCTCTGTCAGATAGTGCAGCCAGGATGGTAAGACCAATTTCTCTGTTAGGCTTCAAGAGTATGCACAGTATGCATGGCACACAAACAGCCAGCGTTAGGCTGGTTACAAGGGTGGCTTGATCCACGGTTTACTGCCCGCCTAAAGCCTATCATACAGCCAGAGGGGGCTGATCACAAGTCATGACACAATCTGTCAAACTCTGTTCCCTCTGTCACGTTCGAGTTAAGGGAATGTACAAGTGAGAACTTAGCATAAGAGAGTCATAGGTGCATTTAGCCTCCCATTGCAATAAATGGTAGTGTAATATTGATTTGTAATATTTTAAAAGTAAATAGTCTTTATTTGTCTCTCAAAACAAGCAATCAAAAAAAGCTTTCTTCAGCACAAATAAAGGCAAACAGGCCATAGTCCTGATATAATTATAAGCCACAAAATGGCTCGTT